GGCAGTGAAACTACTCTGTATGATACTATAATGGCAGATACCTGTCATTACATTTGTCCAAACCCATAGAATGTAAAACACCAAAGTTATACATATACCCAATGTAAACTATAGTCTTTGGGTGATAATGGTGTGTCAGTGCAGGACTGTAACGAATGTACTACTCTGATGTGGGTTGTTGATAGTGGGGGAAGTTGTGTGCATATGAGGTGAGGGGAAATTTCTGCACTTTCTGCTCAATTTTGCTGTGAACCTACTCCTGTTCTAAAACATGAAGTCATTTATGACATACTACATTAAAATTTTACATTTAAATTTACACTAAAAGTCATATTTATATTTTCATTTAGAAAAAGTGGAGCTACATTGATGGAAGCGGTGGCAATGGAAGGAGGAGGGCAGGGAGAGGTGGAGCCCTGTCCGTTCCTCATCCCCCAAGTATTCCCTGAGACCTTGGGGATGTAGGACTTGGAGGAACACCAGAAACCTAGAGGACTAGAGCTCAATGCCTTAGCAAGGCAAACAATGGCCCTCCTGATCAGGCCTAGCTTTCCTTCCAGGCTCGGTTCTTGTGGTTCCCTAATACCCTGCATTCGAAATATTCTGCACATACACTAGTGTTTCCCACAGTACCTCCTGCTCCATGGGTCTCCCTCCAGGCCATTGCTCGTGTTGCCTCCTCTGTCTTGCATCCTTCGCCCTCTTTCTCTACTTAACGACTCCCTTCAGGTCTCAACTCAAGCAGCACTTCCCCTGCGAAGCTGCTCCAGATGCCCCAAAAGCCCTTCCTCATGCTTGGTTCATCCTGTACTCTCCACCATGGCATCCGTCCAATGCACTATTTTTGTGTGCCTGACTCCTACTACGCTGTGCGCAGTTTGAGAGCAGGGCCCTTGCTTCTTTCATCTGGATATCCCTTGCAACCAGCATGATGCCTGGCTTCCTAAATGTTTGCTGAGAATGAATGAGTGAATGAATGAATGAATGAATACATAAATTCTCTCTTCCTCTCTCAGAAGATGATCCCACTTCCCACTAGACTGAGATGATGTTCAATCACTCTTTGGTGGATTTTCTCCCTTCCCATCAGTTTCTTTGACTTTGGGTCTTGATAGCAGTGGTCAGTGTATTAATAAATCAGTCCAGCCACAGCAGCCCACAGGCAGGTTTCCACTTTATTTTTTTCCCCTATTCTTTTGTTAGCAGAATTGTGTTCCTTTAGATGTATCTTCAGTTCGTCCTTGGGTTATTTCACCTTTCTGCTCCCATTTACATATGCTCTTAGTTTATCAAAAGGAAGCTTGGCAGGGCAAGAAATTCCCAGCCTGTCCTTCTCTGGTGGAGAAGAAAGTCAGAATTGTTAGCTTTAATATGACCTTTAAGGTACTTCAATAAAAGACATCTGTAGTCGTGTGATTGCTTGGGATATTTAATACTTAATTTTCAAAGCCTCAGTTGAACACGGGCTGTATCTGAACTGATATCCCAAGCCTATAACAGTAAACCCAGCTCCACCTGGACCTGAGAGCTGAGGTCTGCAGAGCCTGACAAATTATCTAAGCCTGGTGCATTATTCCTTTCTATGATTTTTTTTGGTCTCCTATGGTTTACAGAGGTAGCTCAGAAAAGTTCTCAAAGAATACTTATTCAAGCTTTGTTGCCTGTTTTGAATGAAGCCAGTCAATCCCATGAACTTCCTTGTTTCCTCCTAATTTTTCATGCAGTGTCTAATCACAAGCATTCAAGCTCTTAGAAAAAACTTGAAGCTCAAATCAGGACTTTCTGCTCCTGAATCAAGTCTGTTTCAAAGTTCACCAAAATGGCTACAGCTCACACACAGTTTTAAAAAACTGTAGTCTGCCCTCTGGGGACTCATTTACAAGTGGCACTTCATAGGCACCTGAATTTTTTACAGTCTTAGGGCTTTTGGTTGATTTTCTCAGTACTTTTGATGAAATTATTTTCCACCATAGATACTGATTCTATGAGATAATTGTGTATGATTACCGTATTTCTTAATTCATATTTTCTTAAATTGCTATATTTCTTAATTTCTTTCAATAATAAATAGTGAATAGTTATTTACCATTAAGCACTCTCAAAAAAAGCTAAGGTTAGAATATCCCTGATAATGAATCTACAGGGTCTTTCAAATACAAGTAAGTGGTAACAAAATCAAAGCCATAAATTAAGCAAATGTCAAATTCCCTTAGTCTTATGGTGAGCAAAGACCACCCTCACCTCCCAAATCATATCATTAAGAAGAATCAGAAAAACTCAGGCATCACTAGCCTTCAATGTTTTTGCAATACTGTAAAAGGAGGCAGAAATTGTTGCCACTATCTTTTATTCTTTCACTACCATCCCTTCCCTGGTCTCCACACTTCCATTCAACAGGGTTCAAGAAACGCTCCTCCCAATTCCTCCCCGCAACTAGCTTTGGGTCTCACATCATCAGTCCCCTCATGTTGTAGTCACTTACCCATCCCTAGTCAATCCCTCTCATCTGAAAATTTTAGCTCTGGCTCACTGTCACTCTCTCCAATATTAGTTTTGCCATATGTTTTAGTGATTTCAATGACCCCCAAAGTAATCCTTCCCTGAACCTTTATCTTTCAGGCCCTTGACCTCTTCTGGTCTACTGATCTTGCACTCAGCACAACCTCAGCCACTCTCCCCCAATGGACATGCCTTAGACTTTGTCATTACCTATAACTGAACCCCGCCATGACCGTAGTTTCAAGCATCCCCCTTTCAAACCACCACTTTCTATTCTTCCAACTTACTATCTCTGCTGATCTTACTCCAACAATCCTTTGGGCCTCTGGAGGTACAATTCACTGATCCTGCCCACTTTTCACTGTCCCTCTGCCTCCTCATTTTCCTGGCTTCAGTCCTCATTTTCCTCCCTGCTCAGCTTCAACCCCAAAGTCCACCATTACAATCACCCCTCTGCATAAACTCTCAGCATCTCCGCCTCTCTTTTCTTATATTATGCCCTTGAAAAACCCCACCTGGACCTGCATGGTTGAACAAGACTGGAGGAAAAACACACGGCCATAGAGATGGTCTCACTTCAAATTTATTAGCATGAATCTCAAGCAGATCCTTAATGCTGTCTGGCCACTTTGATCCATCCCTTTGGTCCATTCACTCTTCTGCTCTCATCATCCTCTCTCTCCTCAAACTTTCAACACCTCCCTTTCATCCTCACTAACAGCTGATGACCTTGCTTCTGATTTCACTGAGAATACAGAAGCAGTAGAAGATAATTTCTAAAGATACCGCCACTGCCACCCCATCAACCCAGCTACCAGTCTCAAAGCCCATGTACTCTGCCTTCTTGCATGTTACTTTCCTCTTGTGTCCTCAAGAAATCATTCCAGGTATTTTTCTTCTCTACTTATCTTAACCATTTTTTTCCTTCTCAAAAGAATTTCTTAATCAGTATGTAAATATACTGTCATTTCTTTTGTGTGTAAAGGTACCCTCTCTGACCACACTTGCCTGTCCAGCTTCCATTCCATTTCTAGGCTTCTCTTTATAGAAATAGTCATCAAAAGAGCAGCCACCAGTGTTTCTCTTTCCATGCTCGCTTAAACCTATTCCAATCATGCGTGAGCTCCTGACTCCACCAAAACCGATCTTTTCAAAGTCATCGGTGACTTCCATGTTGCTAAACTGAACGATCAATTCTTGGCCCTCATCTTGCTTGACCTATGAACAGCATTTGACAGGGCTGATCTCTATCCCTCTTGAAACGCGGGATTCTTAGGACTCCCTGGTCTCCTGGTTCTCCTCCTCCATACCCACTGCTTGTTTTCAATGTTCTTTGTTGGCTCTTCCTCATTTCCCCAACTTCTTAATGGACTTCCCAGGTCACAGACCACGTGCTTTTGCTTTCTGTAATATCTATGCTCACTCCCTTAATATTCTTATTCAGTCTCATGGCTTAAACAGTATCTACATGTTGGTGACTCTCAAGTCATCCTACATCCAGCTCACATCTCTCTTCTAAACTCTAGATTCATATATCCATTAGCCTATATACCTCTTTTCTTGGATGTCTAATATGTCCCAAATCAATTGGCTCTCCCTCCTTCCTAAGTCTCTCTTCCTTCATTCTTCCACATCTCACTTACTGGCAACTCCATCTTTTCTGTTTCTCAGGCAAAAAAAACCCTTACAGTCATCTTTGACTCTTCTCTTTTCTCTTGCATCCCAAATAGAGTCCAACAGAAGATCTGCCAGGCTTGACCTTCAAAACATAGCTATAATCTGACCATTTCTCACTACTTCCTCAGCTACCATTCTGGTCTAGACTCTCTTAGGTTACAGAAATAGTTCTGATGATGTTGAATTGCCTGAACACCAAGGCTGCCTTTTCCCTTGTCTGGGGGATGTCTGGAAGCTGTATGCTACCCCAAGTCTCACACTCAGATTTTACCATTTCAGATTCATTCTTATGATATTAAAATTGCCATCTCTACTTACTATTCTTTAAATATTTACAGCTTCTGGGGGGAAATGTATATATAAAACTTTTTCCCTAAAACATTTAAGGTACATTATAAAAGTACATAAAATACATTAAAATATAGAAAAAAGTGAGAAAATTAGGCAAAGGGAAGATAAGGATAGAAAAAAATTCGTATGATGCTGCAGGTGAGGTCAGCATACAAATACATGCCATGAGGTTCTTCACACTTGCTAAATGGGAATAACAGAGGAGTCCCTTCCTCTAAGATGTGCTTTAATATCAGGTTTCTTTTTGCTTAATGGGCCCCCATAAGGCATCATGATCACAGTGGCTCCTTGAGTCTGAGAAGGGGAGGGCTGCGTGGGGCAGGAAAGGCTCAGAAGGAGAAATGAGGCAATGTTGGTCACGAAGTCCCTTCTCACCTGAGACTGGGTCCTGACCTACACCCCAGTCATTCCCTGGTATCCTCCCCAATCTCCCACCTCCCAGCCCACCCCCACATGATACCCTGAGTACTTACCAAGACCCAAGCAAGAAACTCTGAGTCCTGATTTTCCAAGATTCCTAGAATAAAAATAAAGCAACACATGGTCATTTCATCAGGTGAATTTTAACTGGGAGTATTAAATCTCACTTAAAATTTTTTTAAATTGAAATACAGTTGATTTACAATGTTGTGTTAGTTTCAGGTGTATAAATCTCATTTTTGATGATGTTGCTCCTGACTAGAGCCATGGTAGAGGCAGAGCCTCAGATGCAGGCCTGTGGTTTGGGGAAGAGACTCTTTCATCTCCATCTGGGCACTAGAAAGCCCAAAATGTGCATAGGCTCAGCACAACAACAAAGCGTCCCCACAAAACATAGCTTTTCAGACCTAATGATCTTCTTCATTAATTTGCTTACAAATGTATTGTCTCTCTCCTTCTAGAATGTGAGTTCCTTGAGGGCAACTTGATGGATAGGGATTATTAAAAGAACAAATACAAAATAATCCTTTAGGCTATTTAAACTAAATTTTATATATATATATATATATATATATATAATATATATATATATAGTTTCTGCTGTACAACAAAGTGAATCAGCTATACACATACATATATCCCTGTATCTCCTCCCTCTTGCGTCTTCCTCCCACCCTCCCTATTCCATCCCTCTAGGTGGTCACAAAGCACCGAGCTGATTTCCCTGTGCTATGCGGCTGCTTCCCACTAGCTATCTGTTTTACATTTGGTAGTATATATATGTCCATGCCACTCTCTCACTTCGTCCCAGCTTACCCTTCCCCCTCCCTGTGTCCTCAAGTCCATTCTCTACATGTGCGTCTTTACTCATATCCTGCCCCTAGGTTCTTCAGAACCATTTTTTTTTTTTAGATTCCATATATATGTGTTAGCATACGGTATTTGTTTTTCTCTTTCTGACTTACTTCACTCTGTATGACAGACTCCAGGTCCATCCACCTCACTACAAATAACTCAATTTCATTTCTTTTTATGGCTGATATATTTAAAAAAAAAACAAACAACACTACACAGGGACTTCCCTGGTGGTCCAGTGGTTAAGAATCCGCCTTCCAAAGCAGGGGATGTGGGTTCGATCCCTGGTCGGGAACTAAGATCCCACGTGCCATGGGGCAACTAAGCCTGTGCACCGCAACTACTGAGCTGGCGCCCTCTGGAGCCCACATGCCACAACTAGAGAGAAGCCCGCACACTTCAACAAAGATCCTGAGTGCTGCAACTAAGACCCAATGCAGCCAAAATGAATGAATGAATGAATGAATGAATGAATAAAATAAAATAAAAATAAAAAAGTTGAAAATGCAAACCTAAAAAAAAAAACTACACAAAATTCCTACAAGAAGGTCGGATAGTCCTTAAATGATTCTTCCTTTCCTCATGAACACCTTTGCTTTTCATCCTTAAAAGTTAATCCAGGGAAAGGAAATATATTTTCATTCTCTAAGTAGGGAGAGAACTAGGTGCTCTAATCTTCACTGTAAAGTGTTTGTCTGTGGAGACCCAGACCCAACCCATTTTCCTGTCATCCACCTAACTGCCATCAGAGAAGAAATCAAATTCTCAGAGAGAGGATGCCTCATAGAATTTTGTAGGGGTCCAGTGTGGGGAGATGAATCTTACACTATTGAAACATGGTAGAAAAGTGTATTCCTTATTCTCTGATCAGATGCTCTTATAAGAGCACAACTTTTCTCCTTGCTTCTACCCAAACAAAACAGCACCAACTTTTCCAATAAAATTTTCCACAGCTCGGTTCTTCCAGGTTCTCTCTTGATTCCTCCACAGTTTGCCTTCTTTAGAGCTAGTAACCAGTGCTCTTGTTTTTACATCTATTTCTTTTCCCTGCTTGCTATTATTGTCTATAAAATTCCACCTAAGCAACACATTTCATTTCCTAGCATGGTCCAAAGTGCATCACACTGCAGAGTTGAAAGACCCAGTTTTTTCTGCATTTGTTGTAACTAGCTAGGTGACCTTGGAGAAATCACTTCCTTCCTTGGAGTTCAATTTCTTCATAGTACGATGGGGTATTTATACTTATGCCATTCATTCAGCATCACTGTGGTGGGGCTGGAACATGATAATGTATGCTAATGTGTTCACAGTAAACGAATGCAAAGCGTAATTATTTTTGGTGCTTTCTGACTCTACTCACCCTCTCACAGACATAGTGCTAAATTTTCCATATGAATTGGATATGTCCACCTGGCAGGAAACTATCACATAAAGGTATGTGTGAAAAATACTTTGAACTGCTAAATAGGAGAAAAATAATTGGACCTCTCCCATGATAATAATTTGCACGAGGAATTGTTCTTTTAGTAGTTTCTCAGAAAACCACAGGATGTACAGCCAAAAGATCTTGCTTTGTGGTCTAAAAGTCTACTTTTTGGGGGGGGGGCATGTGGGATATTATTTCCCCTACCAGGGATGGAACCCATGCCCCTTGCAGTTAAGCGCTGAGTCCTAACCACTGGACTGTCAGGGAATTCCCAAAGTCTGCTGATTTTAAAGGATAGGAATATAGAGCAAAAGCTACATAGTGGGGAGAATAAAAAAAGACCTACACCAGAACAAAAAAAGCAAAAAAATACATAAGTGAATAACAGTCTTCCAGGTAGAGGTACTTGACATTGACGAATTAGTGAAGATTTATTCACAGGTTACCATGTTCAAGGCAACGTGCAAGGACATGCAGATACAGAGAGGAACAAGGCACAGTTCTCTACCCTTAAGGAGTTCTCTATCCTCTACCTTTTCTGAGGGACACAGAAAAGCAACCACATAATCACAATACAGTGGGGTATATCCTCCCATGGAGGTCTTTGAGAGCACATGGAGGAGCTATCTCAGGTTTGTATTTGCATAACTATGTGGGTGTCATGGGGGAAAAGATCAAGGTAAGGAGTTTCATGTAATTTTAATATCTTTCAGTGACTCTGCGCACAATAGGGAACCCTAACTTGGTGCAGAAAACTATGCAAAGGAAGAAATTTTTCTAACAAACTCAAATAGGGCAAGGTTATGACACTGGGCACTTGCTGAGCAGCATCTCAGCACCCAAGGTAGGGAGACCTGCCCTAAGTTTCCTTGGGACAGTGACTTAGGGAGATAATGATCACTCTGCTATGGGTTTGGAAGGCCACACTTGAGAAACCTGAGAGTTGTCAGCCAACACAAACTGCAGAGTAACAAGTACTCAACATGGCCCATTTTATTGCCATTGCTGTTTAAACACCCAGGCCAGATTTTCTGGAATGAAAGCCTTAGAAGATTTTGTACTGTAAGAAAAGTTCAATTAGAGACAAATATTGGTACAGTGATGACAGGTCCCGCACTGAGCCTTAGTGTTTTTATTTCCTTTAACTCTTTCTCTGAATATTTTTACCTGCTGGAAGGAATGATTACCAAATAGAGCTCGTTGTTTTTATTTTTTATTTTTAATATTTATTTATTTGGCTGCGCCAGGTCTTACTTACAGCACACGGGATCTTTAGTTGTGGCATGTGGGATCTAGTTCCCCGACCAGGGATCGAACCTGGGCCCCCTGCATTGGGAGCAGGGAGTGTTGGTCACTGGACTACCAGGGAATTCCTTACAGTTGGTTGTTTTTAAAGTGAGAGGTATTTTCCGTGCATAAGCCATATCTGGTCTCTAAGTCTTATTCTTTCCAGGGGTAATCCCACGTTCACGTCTGCACAACACTACGTGGAGGTAGGGTGATTGTTTAGCCCCTCTGATCCATTTAAGCTCTGCTGGATAACAGAAGCCCAAATACTTGCACATTTGATCTAATGAGCCCAAAATACGTCATCTGAAAGCTTGTTTGTGTGGCTATAACACCGAATAATGGCCAAGTTTACACATCCTGCTGGGCTGTGACAGATGTCCTGGAACCTTCTCTATCCCAATCATAAGGAATTTTCATGCACACTTCATGACCTTGTGTGACATTGTGCATTGAAACAACTTAATGTATTTGCATTTTATTTCTTAATTCCTCAGCGTTAGCACAGGTGAGGCCACAAAAAGATTCTGTAAGCACATCAAATGTATAATTAGATTGAATTTCTTTCCCATTTGATTCAAAACAGTTGCATTGTACCGGTTTTCCTATTTTATCTGTGTCAGATATACCAGAAGGAAGTCTCACTGTGTTCATTTTTAGTATGCGCTCCTGTTCAACTCAAAATAAAAGCTCCTCTTTCCCAGGTGAACCTGAGCTGCTCGTCTGCTAATATTAGAAATGAATGACATCAGTATGGGGGCACGGGACACATAGCTTTGTCAGTCAAATTTTGGAAATCCTAAATCTTAAATCAAAGCTTCAGGAAAGAGTTACTGCAGAAGGGATATACTTCTTGAGAAGCCAAGGTTACACTTCTTCTTTCTGAAGGCAGAATTGTCCTCTCAGTGTCTGAACTTGTTTTAGGAGAATGGTTAGTTCCATGGCAGATGCATTAAATATAATTTCTAGTGTCATTCTGTGGAGCATCCATCATGCACTTTTTATTTTAAGGCGATAATACAATTGTGAGAACTAAAATCCAGTGTCACTTAGGCACAGTATCAAATGCCATTTGATGCTTACAGGTCCTTTACAAATCAAAAGATGCTTAAAGCAGAAGATTAGCAACCTAAATGTGCTGTTTTAAATTGCTTGCTTCTGAATACATATATCTTAGACATTACTCAGAGTTGTAAACTGCTTGGAAGAGAGGAATAGCTAGCTAAAATAGGTATCTTGCATTTGACCAAGAAAGATGCATACTGCATAGGACAAAAATCCCTTATTTAAAGGTTGACACAACAGAGACAACCTGAAAGCACAGGTAAGGGACTCCAGTGGCCTTGTCAAGCTGGCAGAAACAAGTTTGGTTTGACCTGGTTTCCATGTGCTCAGATCATGACATCATCTGCTGTTTTAGTCTACTTGAACAACTTTCTGATCCCTCTAACTCACACTCTGCTGCGTGTGGTGCCCTACCTGGAAGCTACTAGTCAAATCCGGGGTATGGAATGAAAGGAAAAAGAAAG